CGGAACCAAGAAACTAGAACGAATCATCACCTTATCAACAAAAATCTAATCGAGCCAGGCATTCTTTTAATCCATAGAGCATGACTCGGAACGCATCTCAGTTGGCACGTATTTGGGCCCCACATGCACGAACCCGCAGCCTACATACCTGAATCCGACGCGCTGGCTGGTCTTGAAGTCGTACATGGGCACCTGCACTGCCTCCCCTCGCCTGAGCCCCTCAATGTTCTCCAGAAGCAACTCATAATCGGTGATGCGCGGATCTGGTTGAAGCCACACACGCGCACACGTCACACATGGATGCACCACAAATGAGAGCTGATAGGCTATGTAGCATCGAACACGCCTGACACTACACAATTCACCAGAAAAACACCCAGTGCAGGCAAGGACGCGGCCTAAGAAACGGAGGAGGCAGGCTGAAGAGCATCGAAGCAGCACGAGAGAATGACCGTCGAGATTGCCGTCGATGACGTCATCGGCGACGTTGTACGTTGTTGGGTCGACTTTTGAGTCAACTCAAAAGCAACACGAGTGAGCGACTGACCGTCGAAGTTGCCGTCGATGACGCGGCTGGCGACGTTGTAGTTGTCCATGGAGATGACCGCGATGGATGGCATGAACCCCGCCACCTTGCACGTGAACGCCGTCTTCCCCGCGCCCGACGGGCCCGCCAGCCCCACCAGGATCACGCCCGGGTTGTTCTGCACGACACGGCCCGTCGCAAGAGACGAAAGTGAGACGGCATTAGTAAGTCAATGATCGGAGTCAGATATCCATTGACGCTGAGGCGAGACAGCCGTCGTGGTTGGATGTCAGATAGTTGTCGAAGCCGAATCACACATATTTATTGAAGTCGAGTGTCAAAAAGTAATTGACGCTGAGTGTCAGATAGTCATTGAGATTGCAAGGTTGATAGCCATTGTCGCCGAATTTCAGATAGTCAATGGAACAGAAAGAGTCATATTCTCTAAAACCGAATATCAGATGGGATTCTCAATAGAGCCAGATGTGAGATAACCATCGCCTTCAGCTGATGCTGAACGACCGCGTTGCTGTCAGGTTGCCACTAATGGTGACTCTGAAATCGTCAGCAAAGCTGGAAGCCGGAGCCATAATGTGTCAAATAGTCCTTCAGGCATAACATGCTTGTCAAGATTAATGAAGTCTCATACATCAGCAGCCAGACACTGCAGCAAGACACAACAGCTGGGCACACCTGTGTGAGCAGCTGGACGGCCCGGATGAAGAGGAAGAAGCCCTTCTCAAACGACAGCTTCTCCTCCACTGGAGCGATCTCCTTCCTCGCCTTGCCGTCCGGCATGACTCTCCGCACCAGCCGCAGCTGGTTCTTCAGCAATCCAGGCCGGCGCGAGCTCGGCTTTTCACCATACTCCGCAAACGAGTTTCCCTTAGACGGAATCATTGTCGCGGTGCTGATTATAGTCCTAAGCGCTGTGTAAAATGCCAAGCGGAGATGGTGCTAAGATGGTTGGATGGGGGAACTTTCAAAGCTGCTGGGAGGATAACTTGTAGCTAAAAGATTTTTGAATGAGCGGCGGCTTGAGCGAGAGCTACTACAAGAATGATAATGAAGATGCTGCCTGATTAATAACGAATTGGGGTATCGCACTAGCGCAGAGAAACAGAGACGACCCTAAAAGACGGTCTTGCATGCTCCATGCGCGAAAACAAGGCGACTATTAGAAGGGACAAAGCACAAGCGAGGGCTTGGAACTACTCAACACCTAAAACACCTTCGCCTTTCTTAGCCTCACTCACATATCCTGCTGCAGCCAAGAAAGAACTAGGACCATGAAGTGCATGGGTGTGAGCAGTGATGGCATGGCTTCCGCCAGGATGTGAGTGGAGAAGAAAGCTGCTTAGTAGGACCTGCTGCTGGTGGTTTTGCTGCCGCTGCTAGTTCACTGCTGGGAGTTCCTGGGCAACTCCAGCAGAGTGGCCTGATGTGCTGTTGAGGTTAGCGCGTGTTTTGTTCAGCTCAAAATGTTGGATGGATGGAGGAGTAGATGCCTATGGACTATAGTAGCGTACACTTTGTTTCCTATCTAGTTTCATGTTTTTTGCACGCGGCTTAAGCCTGTAAGCAGGAAATGGTAAAACAAGGGCAAACGGGACCTTGAAGGGGAATACCCAAAGTAAGCACTGACACATGGTTATTAAAATCTCGCTCATGCACTGGATTAGTTGCTTGCGCGACGTCCAAGCTCGGAAACTCGCAATTGTCGAAATATGACTTGGTTGTTCGCTGTCGTTCAGACTGCAGCCAATCAGGTTCACTGTCAACGAGAGTCATGCTGAGAACGAAGTAGTGGGATTGCGATTTAGACTGTTCCAGGTAAAATAATAGAGGAGAAAAGGTGTACTGTACTGTAGTCTGACTTTCCATCCATTGGCTCTGCCGACACAACGGGCACTGACGACACAGGAGATGTAAGGTTTGATTGGGCGTTATGCCCTTGAAGCGGGCAGATTCGAAAAGCGCACTGGCACATTCACTTTGCTCGGGGATAGATATTTAGCAGGTCGAGCTGGATGATATTTCCTAACCAGGGACATCGCTATAGAAGCGCGCGACTGCAAACAACGACACTAAGAATTCTCACCACTACAAGCACATACAGACAACGACTACGAAATTCCCGAAGCGGAGAGAACTTGGGAGCCTGCTTTTTGGGGTTCGCGAAAGCCCATGCTAACATCAGTGGTATCATGTGGCACGCGCTGAGCAGTCCGCATGTGCGTCATCGAATGGAACCAAACCATCCCATGATTCTCCCATCCCACCCCATCCCATCCCATCCATGCCATCAGGCTGCTCGAAAGCAGTGTACCCATGGCCACCATCCACCAACCAGCTTGCCTTGCCTCACCTTCCTCAACCACCCGTTGATACACCCCACTTCCAAATGTGCAGACAGCCGAAACACAAGCAAATCTGGCAGTTTCGAAGCCAGGATCTATTCCAGTTTCCAACTGCTCAAGGTACTCGACGCTGAGCAGGAATCACCTCGGTCTGTTCTGTTGTAAGTCGTCTCTACTTGTCCCGTAGATTATTTCACGCCGCACTTCAGGCCGTGAAAATGTCTGGGGAGGAGGAGAAGATCGAGAATCCCGCTCACCAGGAGGAGGATGACGATGCTCCCAAGGCTGACGATGAGGACACTGGAGCTCACATCGCTCCCATTGTGAAGCTGGAGGAGGTTACCGTCTCCACCGGTGAAGAAGATGAGAACACCCTCTTTGAGATGTAAGCTGTCGACCACGCTAGAACTTCTGCCGATTCGCTGCAGTTTTGATGGACGTTAGACGCTCGTCTCGAGTATTTGAAGCGAACTCGATTTCTTATCCTTTTAGTTCCGTTTGCTCTGCTAGTCTTATTTGGTCCATCTCGAAGCTACCTGTGTAATACTGTAGGTCTGGCAACCCTAATTTTTGTGCGTCGTTTCCATGCCTGGAATTCATTCGAGCTATCGAGTCCGCGTAGGGTTCCTTATTGAACCCTTCCTTGGGTGCTTGACTTGACTGGTGGCTATGTTTCCAGCAAATCCAAGCTTTACCGGTTTGATAAGGACGGAAACCAATGGAAAGAGCGGGGTGTAGGCCAAGTGAAGCTCCTGGAGCACAAGGAGACGAAGAAGATCCGGCTGTTGATGCGGCAGCAGAAAACGCTGAAGATCTGCGCCAACCACACAGGTAGGGCAACCTGAGCAATGAGGAATACGGAAATTCATCGTTCACTATCCTCTTCCCTATTTTTCACGAATTCATTGCCCAGTACTCCTTCCCACGACAAAAGTTGACAGTAAGTCGAAGTAATGGTCAACGTTATCCCTCCGTTTCACTTGTCATTTCGGGCTTCTGATCCCGGCTTGTCGCCTTGTGATTCTTCGAGTGTTAGCTTTTAGAATTGCATTCCAAATTTATGGTCTAGAGCATCGGAGGCCAAGTTGTGGCTGGTATGGAGCATCGGAGGCCAAGTTCTACGACCTCCAACCTTTCCTTCAATTCCTGGCATCTCGTGCTCTCTTCCCTCTGCAGTACTACCGACCATGTCGCTTCAGGAGCACGCAGGGAGCGACAAGTCATGGGTGTGGCACGCGCAGGACTTCGCTGATGGAGAGCTGAAGAAGGAGCTCTTCACCATGCGGTTCGGCTCGCCAGAAAGTGAGTGTTGTCAGGCTCCTTCACGGAGGCAGATGGGTTGGTTGTGTGAAGAGCCCTTTGTGGAAACGGACTGGATCCGTGTTGAAACTCTCTTGTTAGAAATGCTAGGAAAGTGGATCCTTAATGTGTGTGCATCTGGCACTAAACATATATGTTCACATATGAATGTATATATACACACACCCCTCTCACATTCTGTTCCTGAGTCATGTACTCTCCTCATTCCCTCTCTAGTATACGTCCCTGATGTCCTGAGGTTGTTTCTGTCTCCTATCGTCCACCCTATCCATTCCAGGCGCTCAGAAGTTCAAGAGCGCATTTGAGGAGGCACAGGAGAAGATGGCGGCGATTCTGGGAACCAAGGACACAGATGCAGCCAAGGAGGTGGCGAAGGAGGCAGAGAAAACAGCAGAGGAGCTTGAGAAGCTGGCTGTCAAGAAGGATGAGGACAAGCCTGCAGAGTCCTAAGTGGAACGTCTGTTTTGTAGAACTTTATATTGTAGGTTCTTTGCAGCCTCCTAGTCCGGTCGTCTTGCCTGTATCTGTCTTGTAGGTTTCTCATTGTTATGAGTCACCACTATACCTAGTTCGAGTCTGTTTGCCCGCACCATTTGTTCTGGACATTCTTCGGGTTGTAGGAGACCCGCTTGTAACGGTTCATAGGGTTTTGTTTGACAGGCTACTAGGGTTTGAGAAGCCAATTTGTCACGGGTGAATTCCCGTTGTCCAGCATGCCTGCAACACGCCGTCCAGTGTGCCCGAGGATGCAGAACGCCTACTTCAGATGCCACGTGTCTCGTAATAAGCAACGCCACGCAGCGCAAGGGCAATGAGTTTGGGAAGGGACCATTCCGAGTCAGATTATTGGCAGGCCAATGTGTTGGAGGGACATGCAAGCGGAGGGATTCACAGCACTGTAGCAAGAATAGGTGTATGTGGGAAGGAGCCAGCGACTTGTAGTCTTCTACCTTCATTCCACGAGACTCTGAGCCTTGATCGACTTTCCTCCTGCTAGCGCTAGCTCCGGGACGGACACATGAGAATTCGCGACGCGCCTACCCCACGACCGCTATCTGTTGCGAGAAGAATCTCGCACCCTCCGCCGCTTCCTCGTCGATCTCCTCACTCTCGTCGAATCTTCTTTCTCCTCCGGTTGCTGGCCATCCTCCTTCGTACCAGTGCGACACTCGTCCAGGGAACGTCGCTCGAAGGTAGCGTGGACTGCGGACTCAAGGAAAGGCAAAGCACGGCCAGTGGTCAGTTCTCTGAAAGCCAAGCGACTTCTGAGCAATTTGAGAATTCTGTCAACCAAGCCGCTTCCGAGGAGTCTGGAACCTGCACGGCGGGTCTCGACATGTCGAATCCCGCGGCTCATGCGGGGGACGCAGGCTCCATGAAGATTGCGTCCGCGTTAAAGGACGTCCCGGTTGAGCGTATAGTGGGGCCTGGAAGCGACGAGGTGGTGAAGATAGGGTCGTTTTGGCAGACGCAGGTGAGAAACGGATGGCAGGGTGGCTCCGGTAGTGGATGGTTGAGATGGTGTGGATGGTTGAGATGGTGTGGATGCTTGGGTGGCTCCAGCAGTGGATGCCTGCATGCTGAAATTGGCTCCAGCAGCTCACCTCTTTTCTTTCTGTTTTGATTTTCGCCCATCATTTTTTCCTCCGGCGTTTTCCCCGTCCTCCTTTATTCGCCGAATCTCCTTATGCCTCATCTTTTCCTCCCCGTCCCCATTCCTTCCCTCCTCCTCCTCCTCTTTCTCCCCTTCCTTCCTGCCCCCTCCCCTTCCCCTCTCTCCCCCACCAGCCCGTGCTGATTCATTTTCTCCGCCGCTTCGGCTGCCGCATCTGCCGCGGAGGAGCCATGGACATGTCTCGCGCCATCCCGCACCTGCAGAAAGCGGGCGTGCGGGTCGTTGCCATTGGTGAGTGAATTCCTGGCCGGCTTACTGCTTAGAGCCATCGTGCAGTTGCGGCGGAGGAGCCATGGACATGTCATGTCACGGGCCATCCCTCACCAGCTATGCCTCTTGGGCTGACGGCCGTTGCAAACGCTGGGTCGTAGATGGGCCTCCACAGTCTTTTTCTTCAAGTGCCTTCAAATTCGCCTCCAGAATGAACTATGCTGGAAACTTCACGGTTTGCTTAGAAGGGTGTCTCAGAAGGGTGTCTCTGGGAACAAATCTAAACTCCCCTCCCTTTCTCGTCACTTCGTTTCTCTCCCTTCTTCCCATGCTTGGACCATCTGGGCGCAGACGAATTCGTGGAGTTCTCCCATCCGTGTTCCTGCATTCCGTATTTCCTCCCTCCCTCCCTCGACCCCCGTTCTTCCCATGGCTGGACCATCTGGGCGTGGGCGAGTTCGTGGATGGGGGCTACTGGAAGGGCGCCTCCTCTTCCGCTCACTCTCCCTCCCTGCCTGCCTGCCATGCTCCCTCTGCCACTCCCCCAACTCTCTCGTTTCCCCCAGGGCTGGACCATCTGGGATTGGACGAGTTCGTGGATGGGGGCTACTGGAAGGGCGAGCTGTACATTGATGATGGAAAGAGGGCGTACCAGGCGCTCGAGCTCAAGTCCATCTCCTACTGGCAGGTGAGGGTAAACTTCTTTGGTGCACCCTGGTTGCGTTGCTGCATGCTGCGTGCTGCATGCCGTCCTATGATCTCTACTGGAGGGGCGAGCTGTGCATAGACGATGGGAAGCAGGCCTACCGGGCGCTGGAACTCAAATCCAACTCCTTTTGGCAGGTGAGGGCGTGCTGCATGCTGCACTGGCAGGTAAGGGTGTGCTGCACGCTTTATGCTGGCCTTCAGCATCCTCACTCCTCGTTCCCGTCATCCCTTCTTCGTCTTCACCACCCATCAGGTGGCCTACCAGCTGCTCTTTGATAAGACGGTGAAGAAGTCTCTTGGAGACACGGCCAATGTGAAGGGCGATCTGGCTGGAGACGGCCTGTGAGTACACGTATTCCTCAACAAATTTGCTGTATGAATTTGTCTATAGATGGTTTGGGCTCTGTTCTCTTGAACTGTGTAACATCCCATTGTGAAATGCTTCTGTGCATCTGTTCGTGCAATGGCTGCAGGCAACTTGGGGCGACGTTGGCACTAGATAAAGGTGGCAAGTTGCTTCATGAATTTAGACAGGTGACAGTAGCAGACCATCCGTCTCCCGAGGAGCTTTTGCAGCGTTTTGGGATTGACCCAAGTGTGCTAAGGGGAGGAGTGAAGGGGGCTAGAGGAGCTGAGGAAGGGGGCAAGGAAGACACGTGTGAAGGAAAAGAGTGCTTGTGATATGTAGCTTCTCTAGTTTGATTTTGATTGTTGTATTGAGTGTACATGTACTATTCGAATTATTCACAACCTAATGCCCGACCTTCGCCCACCAATGCGGTTACGCCACGACTACCGCAACTCCACCCAAATTTTGACGGGCAGGCATCCAGCGTGGCTGGTTGCGTCACGAAGCGCTTGAACCCAGCAATCAACGGTAACCACTCTGCCAAAGGAGCGCGTCAGTCGCTAGTTTGAGTTGCAGTCAGCTTGTGCGATTTGACACATCAGCTTTGTTCCATGGTCGGCTTGGCTTGGCATTGGCAATGCCCTTGGGAATGTCGGCCTTGTGAGTGCATCTCCAAGTATGAGGGAACGTAAAATTTCCTAACCATACCTAGGAGGCTAGGACTCACGCCGTCAGTAGTACAAGTCTGACCAGTATCCGTCGCCCAGCGTTATCAGAGGAAACAGAGGCAAGGCAGCCCCTCCCAGCTTGAGTCTGGCAATAAAGCTGGTCTGTGCCTTTTCGGAGGCAAGCATCCCAACCAAGCATTGCGAGAAACTTGCTCCGTTTGCGCTAGCTTTGTTGTCTGTCGGAGCGGCAGTCGGTTGCGAACCTGTGGCTTCGAAAGAGACTTTGAAAATCGCGCAAGGCGTACGATAGTCCCTGGCCAGGTGCCTAGTTGTACGTTAGCCATGGCGTTTGCGGCTCGCGCGACCAGCTGCCAGCTCCGCCTGGCCACAAATCTTCCCCAGTATTCCGCTTCGAAGGTAGATTCTTTCTTTATGCAACGGCCCGTGCACATAACTCTTGCTTCCCCATCCATGACGTACTTCCAGATCCATACTGCGATACGACATTCGATTGGTAAAACATTCTTACGTGGCACTAGCAAGGTTTCACCAGAACACCGTTTCACAACCGCGAACATGTGCCGTTAGGGTGGTGCTAACTACAACACTGCTACCTACAACTTCCACCTGTGTCAGTCTTCTGGCTGCTGCATTAGCAGCAGGCACCTGCGTCACCAAAGGAGGTGTCAGTGACGCCTCAGGCTGCTGCTTTGGCATCGCTCACAGGCTTACTGCCTCGCGCCACTCCCAGTGCCTCAAGCGTACTCGCCGTTCCTTTCTGAGGCGAATGAAGCCTAGAGGTGTCATTTCTTACACTCCTAGGAAACGTACACGAGTTCTGCATCTTATAATTCATCCTCTTTCCTCCCTCCTCCCCCCCCTCTCTTCCCACCCCGTGCCAAATTCCCCCTTCAGGGCCCCGTCTCGGTCCGTCTCCCAGCCGTGCGCGCGGCGGCCGGCGATGCGGAGAGCAGCGCGGAGAAGCCGCGCGTGGGGGATCCGCAGGGGGAGCGCGCGAAGGGGATCTTCGAGTTCGTGACGGACAACCCGTCGAGCAAATCCGCCATTCAGCTGAAGAATGCACCCGCCATGGACGGCAACGTCGGCCAGATGATCTCGGTGAGTGCGTGCGACAGTGTGCGATAGCGTGCGACAGATTGTATGGGTGCGTGCGACAGTGTGCGAAGGGGATCTTCGAGTACGTGACGGACAACCCGTCCAGCTGGTCAGTCTTCTTGTCAAGAATTAACCCGCCAAGGACGGCAAAGTCGGCCAGATAACCTCGGTGAGTGGAGGCTCGGAAGATGTGGCTGGAAGGAGGGAGGGTTTGAAAGCACAGATGCTCGAATCGGAGCTGCGAATCAAAGTTTAAAGGTCTAGAGTCTGGGTAAAAGGCGGGCGAGAAGTGAGCCTGGCGAGTAGAGAGCTAGTGCTGGAGTCTTGGCGTGCGCTGGGCAGAGGAGTAGAGGTAGCAGCAGTAGCGGAATAGTCTTTGAGTGGGCACAAAAAAGGTCCACTTCAAAATCCGAGTAGACAGCAGGCCGAGCAGAGGAGTAGAGGTAGCAGTACCGGGATAGTTCCATGAAAACGACACAGCCTCTTCGCCTTTTCCCGTCCCCTCTCCCTCTGCCGCCCCTCTGCCGCCCCTCTGCTGCCTTTCTGCCGCCCGTCCAGGGCGTTGGAGTGGTGGCAGAGGAAGGGCGGGCGGGAGGGACAGAGGAAACGGCGGAAAGCATTGAGGCGTTTCAGTGGAAGGCGGGGGTGGGGCACGGGGGAGGGGAGGGAAGGGGACGTAGAAAGGAAGTGGGGAGGTGGTGGGGAGGGCAAAGGCAACGTGGGCAGTTTCAGAGGGTGGAGGAGGCTAGGGGAGACTAGGGACGCTACGTCTACAGGTGCCTTTTGAGTCGACTCAAATATCACCCACGGGAGGGCACGGGAGGGCACGGGAGGGCACGGGAGGGCACGGGAGGGCACGGGAGGGCACGGGAGGGCAGAGGGAATGGGAGGTGCTAGAAGGTGGAGACTAGGGACGCTACGTCAGCCTAGGCTGGCTCTGACGTTATGTCTTTTGTGCCTAGACGCCCTTTCGCTTCCAGCCAACCCTCCTTGCTTGCTCGGGTCCTTCCCCCAAAGGACGGACATGCCACGTGTCCGTTGCAACCAAATGCATGATCCAATGCACGGCTCTACCGGTATTCTGCACGGTCAATTCCAACGCATACCTGTTTCATGGCCACCTGGCCGCGTTGTGCTGTCTATTCCACCTTGGCCCGCCTCTTACCGTTATGGCCGTCGACCATCTCGTACCATCATCCCTCTCGACCCATCTCATGCGTTGCGGATTATCTCGGACCGTTCGGACCGTTCGCTCCATTCACAACCGTTGACGTGCCCGCGCCCTGAAAACCGCTCCCCTCCCCGTGCAGGCCATCGAGGACAAGGGCAAGGACATGGGGTCGTACGTGCTGTCGGGCGAGTTCCAGTACTTCGTCCGACAAATAGGTGCGAGGGCATGGGCATGGGCAAGGGCACGGGCAAGGGCATGGGCAAGGGCACGGGCAAGGGCACGGGCAAGGGCATGGGCATGGGCATGGGCAAGGGCACGGGCAAGGGCATGGGCATGGGCATGGGCAAGGGCAGGTTCCAATACTCTGTCAGGCAGAGAGGTGCGCCATTCTTTGGCCTATCCTCCTTGTGCTTGCAAAGCGAAGAAGATTGCAAACGAAACAGCGAGCGGCCCTCCACTCCACCCCACCATCCCAGCACCAGCACCAGCACCAGCACCAGCAGCACCAGCATCAGCAGCAGCAGCAGCAGCAGCAGCGCAGAGTGGAGTGGAGTGAATGAGACTCTTTGCCCCCTTTCAACCCTCCTCCCCCCAATGCACTCCATCAGGCCAGCCAAGCGACCCTCTAGTGGTGTACCTGCACGGAGCTCCTGCGCAGTCATGGGGCTTCAGAGAAGTGATGCAGCAGGTTCGTGTGGGTGGGTGTGGGAGAGTATGTGCGCGTGTGTGTGATTGTGTGAGGGGGGGGGGGGTGGGAGGGGTGGGGACTGGGTGAGTGAGTGAATGAGTGCGCATGACCCCACCAGGTCAGTGTGTGCACCTGCTCGGTCGGAGCACCCGCACAGCCGTGGGGCTTCAGAGAAGTTATGCAGCAGGTGGGTGTGCAATTTATCTAACACTCGCACGCACAGACGAAGACACACACGCACAGACGAAGACACACACACACTCCCGTGCAAACACACAAACACACCAACTTGCGCGCACACATACGCGCACACAGAGACACAAACACCAACACACACAGACGTGCACACACACAGACGTGCACGCACACAGACGTGCACACACACAGGCACGCACACTCACACAGGCAGCCAGGCACGCTGCCTTGCGCCTCCATCCCCCCTCCCTTGCGCCACCATCCCCCCTCCCTTGCGCCTCCATCCCCCCTCCCTCGCGCCTCCATCCCCCCTCCCGTGCGCCTCCATTCCCCCCTCCCTTGCGCCTTGGCGCCGCTGCCCAGATGGCGGAGAAGGGCTACAGGGGCATTGCGCCTGACTGGATCGGATATGGCTTCTCAGAAAAGCCTCAGCCGGGGTACTACTTTGCTTACACGGGTGAGGGCGGATGGGGGCGATGGGAAGAGTGGAATGAAGAAGAGAGAAGAGGAAATGGAGGAAGGAAACGCTGGGAGGGCAAGAGTTAAGGGTTTAGGGACAAATACTTGTCTCGCAGAAGTTTCCCCTCGTTCATCTCGTCTTACTCTCTTGCATCGCCATGTCCTCCCCCTCCCCCTCCTCTTCCTCCCCCTCCTCTTTCTCCCCCCCCTCCTCCTCCCCCCCCCTTTTTTTTCTTTCCCCGCCCCCTTCTTCTTTCCCGTCCCACCTTCCAATACAATGCAACCAGAGGAGGCGTATCACCAAGAGTTGGATCGTCTCTTGGAAACCCTGAGCGTGACAGAGCCCTTCTACCTTGTAGTGCATGTGAGTGAAAGGGCCTTATATCGAGCCATCTTGACACCACATTGGAGTCTTATATCAAGCCGTCTTGACGCCACGTTGGAGCCTTGTACCGAGCCGTCTTGACACAGCGTTGGAGCCTGTCGACACAGCCATGCAAATGAGTTTCAGACCCCATGATGTTAATTTTTTTGTTTTTGTTGTTGCACGGCCTCATCACAGCACTGTCGCCCTCCTCCTCCCTCCCTGGGCCTTGTCCCCTCTCCTTCCTCCACCAGGGCTACCTTGTAGGAAGCTACGGCCTCACGTGGGCTCTCAAGAAACATGGGGCTGGCCATTCTCAACAACACCGCTCTCGCCCTCCTCACCTCTTCCTTGCCCTCTTCGCCCCTCTCCCTTTTCCCCTGCAGGGCTATCCCGTAGGCAGCTACGGCCTGACGTGGGCTCTCAAGAACGCTGGGAGGCTCAAGGGGCTGGCCATCCTCAACACATCGCTTTCTCGCTTCAAAGTTACACTCCCTCCTCCTCTTCATCTCCCCTCTCCATTGCCTCTGCAGGGCTATCTCGTAGGCAGCTACGGCCTCACATGGGCTCTCAAGAACGCTGAGAGGCTCAAGGGGCTGGCCATCCTCAACACGCCGCTGTCGGGGTCCTCTCCCCTGCCCCAAATATTCCAACAGCTCAGGTGCTCGCAACAGACCAGGTGGGGTCAGGTTGACTCAGTTGCTTGTAGGAAAGGGACGCGAAGGATGCGAATAAAGCACCAGGGGCGAAAAGGGATCATAAAATCGTGAAGAGTGGAAAGGGAGGGGAGTATCAAACACATGGAGGCCAACCAGGTGGTTTGGTGGAGTGATGTTGCTGGTACCAGCGGTGTGCTTAGACCTAGACGTCAGGCTGTACCGCAAATATCAAGTTCACGCGTCGTGTCCCCTCAAGCCCTCGCCAGTTCTGCCCCCCCCGGCCCTTATACCCCGGCACACCAGGCTGATATTCGTGGGCGAGTTGCAGTGCCAGAACGCCGAGCTGGTCCAGTGCCACACCCGTGTCTCACACACGTATCTCCCCTCGCCCTTTCCGCCCCCCCCCATCCCTCTTACATTCCCCCCCCAGAATGCCGTTCGTGGGCGAGTTCCAGTGCCAGAACGCCGTGCTGGCAGAGCGGTTCATTGAGAAGGGCAGCCCGTGAGTAGGCTGGGCGGGAGGTTTGAGAGTGTGGGGGGTTGGGCGGGTGGGAGGATGAAATGCAGAGTGGCTTTTTGAAAAGTACAGACGGTGAGTAACCTTCAGCTGATAGGGAAGGCTTTGACTTGTCCATCCACTCATCCTCCCACCCATCCATCCATCCACCCATCCATCCATCCACCCATCCACCCACCCACCCATCCATCCACCTATCCATCCATCCACCCATCCACCCACCCATCTTTCCATCCACCCATCCATCCATCGACCAAATGCTTTCCCTTCCCTCTCTCAAACCCCTGCCTCCTGCGTCAGCGACTCCCTCAGCTGCACAATGCTCATGGCTCACTTCCTTCCCTCCTCACTTTCCCCCTCTCTCCCTCCCTTCCCTTACTTTCCTCCCCTCCCTCCCCTCCCTTCCTCCCTTCCCTTCCTTCCATTCCCTCCCGTTCTCCCCTGCCCATCCCCCCACCGCAGCTACTCCCTAGAGCTCGGCAATGCTGACGTGTACCTCCCTTTCTCCCTCTCTCTCATCATTATGCCTTTCCCTCCCCTCCCCTCCTTCCTCTGTCCTCCTCTCCCCACTGCAGCTACTCCCTAGAGCTCGACAACGCTGATGTGTACCGCCTGCCATACCTCGACAGCGGTGAACCTGGTTTCGGTAAGAGAGAAAGAGAGCATTCAATAAAGAGTACAGCGCTTTTGGCATCCAGCTCAGCGCATGGAGGAGAGATCCTTGTGGGATCCTGTCCGGGCATATCCCGGCAGTGGCGACCCCCGATTCGGTAACACTGCCCTGAAATACGATTTTTAGTGCTAATGCCCTGCCCATGGTGCGGGTAGGGAGAGGGGGAAAACAGCTGTCTGCCCTTCTGGGCACAGCTCGCAAGGCCAACTCCAAGCAGCTTTTCCACTCCGCCCTGCTACATGCCCCGTCTGTTTTACTTTCCCCCTCTCCCTCCTCCTCCTAGTCCTCCTGGAGATGGCCCGCAAGGCCAAACCCAAGCAGCTTTTCCGCCCTTCCCTGCTGCATGTCTCGTTGACTTGACACCCTCCTCATGTCTCCCCCTCTCCCTGCTCCCCCCAGCCCTCCTGGAGACGGCCCGCAAGGCCAACCCCAAGCAGGTCGGGGAGAGGATCCAGAGCGCCCTCTCGTCCCCCAGGTAGCGCAGCCCTTCACGCCCCCCACTCCGCTCCCTGCTTTCATCTCCGCTCACTGCTTTCATCTCCGCTCACTGCTTTCATCTCCACTCACTGCTTTCATCTCCACTCACTGCTTTCATCTCCACTCACTACTTCTGTCAACACTCCGCATTCCCCCTCTGTGCTCCTCTGTGTGTCTTCATACCCTCCACCGCACTGCACCGCTCTGCACAGCTGGACGGTACCCACAGTGATTGCATGGGGCAAGGACGACCCCTACATTCCCATGAGCGAGGCCCAGGCTGTAGCCAAAGCCAACTCGTCCTCTGTGACGCTGAGAGTGCTAGAGGGAGCCGGGCACACCCCCCAGGAGGACTGGTGAGTTGGAGATTGTAGGAGGGTAGAGCCGTGAGGGCATGGGGCAAGCCACATCCCCATGCATGAGCCGTAAGGACAGCCCCCACATCCCCATGCATGAGCCGTAAGGACAACCCCCACATCCCCATCAGCGCGGCTCAAGCCATGGATGTGGACTCGTCTACTGCCACGCTGTCAAGCTGAGAGTGTTGCAAGGAGCTGGGCACACCCTGCAGGAGGACTGGTGATTGTGGAAGAGTGGCGCAGCGATGCGGTTCGGGAAAGATTGACCCCTACATACTCATGAGCGAGGCAGAGGCCGTAGCCGAAGCCAACTCGTCCACTGTGACGCTGAGAGCGCTAGAGGGAGCCGGCCACACGGCCCAGGAGGGCTGGTGAGTTGGCGGAGGGCTGTAGCTCGGAAAAGGTTGACTCCTACATTCCCATGACAGAGGCACAGGCCACATTTAAGGCTAAATCCTCGTCTGTCACGCTAAGGGTGTTGGAAGGAGGCGAACACACCCCCCAGTAGGACTGGTGAGCATTGCATAGTGGTAGAGGGACGTGGCCTGAGAAAGGTCGATGCGACCGATGGCCATGCTAGCGTTTCCAAGAGCGATGCCCAGGCCATAGCCAAGGCCAACGAGGCTGCTGTTACGGTGACAGTGCTGGAAAGAGCCTGGCACACACCCCAGGAGGGCTGGTGAGGTGAGCTGGTGGATGGGTGGAGGGACGTGCTTTGAGGCGCCTCAGGAGCAGTGGGACGTGGTTGACAGTGTACTGCTCCATGAGCGCGGCTCAGACTCCCAGTCCCTACTTGGCACTCCTGTAGGACTAAAGTGCAGCTCTCTCTCAGACATCTCAAAACTATGCTTCTATCTGCACAGCACGTATTCGGCACACCTGTGGGATTGTCTTGTCCTGCTGCGGCACAGATCATGTTTGGAGTCTAAGTGAGAGATCTGTTCAAAGTCTCTAGATCCAACCTCTCATTCTGAACGTTTGATCTGATACCGTGGCGTGCAGGTCTGAGAAGGTGGTGGACAGCCTGCGAGTCTCCTTCAACTGATTCGTCCAGAAGCGATAAGAGGATTGTTAGAACCCTCACTTGCGGACGTCTCCTGTTTTCCCTGGAGTGGCTATAACGGCGGAGTTTTGCCCCCTGTAGAGGAGAAGAAACGTGTGCCGTGCCAGGCACACAAGGGCCAACAATGTAGCAATGTGTTCTATTCAATTTATACAACAGCAGCTACGTTGCACTGCACTGGTGACTTGTGCTCCCTTTCTTGCACCAGCCAATCTAGAAATACTATAGCCAAACCAAACATGTGTCATCCTTTAAATGGCCAGGGATTAAACAGCTCAGCACATGCTAAAGCCTGTTACCAATAGTGGTCTGCATTCTGTCACAGTTTCAATTGTGGGTGTCCTGTGCCCACACCAAATGAGAAGCTACGTGGCCTTTCATGTGTTGTTTGCCAGATTCCATGTGTTGTTTGCCAAATTCCATGTGTTGTTTGCCAAATTCCATGTGTTGTTTGCTAAATTCCATGTGTTGTTTGCCAAATTCCATGTGTTGTTTGCCAAATTCCATGTGTTGTTTGCCCCGAGCAACAACTCTTCCAGGGGCAGTGACATGAGAAGGCTCCTTCGTATGGTCGATCAGTGGTGTCAGCCCAATAGCTGCAGCCAGCAGCTGTTGCGCCACCACATCTGCACGGTCATGGGGAGACAAGGTGAGAGGAGGGGAGAGGAGGGGAGAGGAGGGGAGAGGAGGGGAGAGGAGGAGAGAGGAGGAGAGAGAGGAGAGGAGGGGAGATGGGAGAAGTGGGGAGAGTAGGGGAGAGGGGAGAGGAGGGGAGAGGGGAGAGGAGGGGAGAGTAGGGTAAAGGAGGGGAGAGGGAGAGGAGGGGAGAGGAGGGGAGAGTAGGGGAGAGTAGGGGAGAGGAGGGGAGAGGAGGGGAGAGGAGGGGAGAGGAGGGGAGGGGAGGGGAGGGGAGAGGAGGGGAGAGGAGGGGAGAGGAGGGGAGGGGAGGGGAGGGGAGGGGATTGGAGAGGAGGGGGGGGAGGGGAGAGGAGGGGAGAGGAGGGGAGTGGAGGGGAGAGGAGAGGAGGGGAGGGGAGGGGAAGGGAGGGGAGGGGAGGAGAGGGGAGAAGAGGGAAGAGGAGGGGAGAGGAGAGGAGGGGCGAGGCAGGGCGAGGAGGGGAGAGGAGGGGAAAGGAGGGGGGGGGAGGGGAGGGGAGGGGAGGGGAGGGGAGGGGAGGGGAGGGGAGAGTACGGGAGAGGACGGGAGAGGATGGCAGAGGAGGGGAGAGGAGGGTCTGCACAGCACTGCTTGACGCTTGCCAGGTGTGAGGCTTGGCGGGTGTGAGGCTTGGCTGGTGTGAGGCCCTCAGAAGATGGGGAGGGGATTTCACTTCACGGGCAGTCAAACTGGTGTCTTGCTGGACACTGCCTTGGGTTTCTGGTGCGTGGCTCTGGTGCGTGGCTCAGGTGTTTTAGTAGTTTGCTAGGTGTTAATGTGTGTGAGTGCTTGTGGATTGCGTTGCATGCAACTTTGTGTGAGTCTGTTTATGTATGGCTGGGGTTTTTAAGTGTGTATCTCGAATACATAGAACAATGCAAACAAGGAGTCAAAGCCATGCCATGCGCCCTGCCATGCCATCTGCAGGGCTTGATTCAGCAAGCACTCCTCCCTCCCCTTTAGCACAAGAGCAGCAATTAGTATTCCCTCTCCCCCACCTCAGCGCGAGAGCGGCTGCACCACGAGGGGGGACCGCACGCTGTGGCCCTGGTCATCCGCCCACACTATATACCCGTACTTGAAGTCCTTGCTGGGTGTATCCACGGTGAGCGTCAGAGTATAACTCGCCTTCTGCCCGGCACCAACCGTGAGGCTCTTAGGCGCCACTGTCACCTTCACCCCTGCTGGCGCCTTCCCAGATACACTGTATGTGGACTGGGCCCCTCCCACATTGGTGACCGTGCGAGTCACCTGAATCGAGCCCTGCAGGCGCGGCAGAGTGATGGTGGGAAGGTTGAGATTGCGCACAGCCAGGGGGGAGAGCGACACCCCTGGGAACTCCTTTTTCGCCCGGGTCAGATCCTGCCCGGCCAGGAAATTCTGGTAGTCTTTGTCTCGGGCGTCGTAGGTGAGGCCGGGGTTGAGCATGGCAGGGGGGAACACATGGCCTGCCCCCATCTCCCAGGGGGTGGCATCCCCGCCAGTGGAGCTCTTGATGGGGCTGCTGCTCGTGTCAGTCACCCGCGCCGTCGTCATCATCGCTGACATCACCTGCGCCGGGCTCCAGATGGGGTATTTCTGGATGATTAAAGCGGCCAGCCCTGCCAAATGAGGGGTGGCCATGGAAGTACCCGAGAGGCGGGCGAGGGCGCCGGGGTCGCCGATTTTCTTCCCGGGAGCAGCGGCTAGGAGGTCCACGCCCGGGCCGATGATGTCGGGCTTGAGGATGGCGTTGCCTGGCTGGGGGGGCTGGGCCGTGGCAGAGGGCGGTATGAGGGGGCCACGGGACGAGAAGTCAGCAACCACCGGGGCAGAGGAGGAGGAGGTGGCGAAGGTGATACCTCCGTCAGCAGTGAAAGTGGTGCCGCTGCCATCACCTGTCATGGTGCCGTTGCCTGTGCTGTTGCCGCCGCCAGTGCCGTTGCAGTTGACAGTGCTGTTGGTGCTGGCGGCGCCGGCAATGGCGTTGAGGGGGAGCGACTGAGTGCTGGCTGCTGCTGCTGCCGAAGCTAGGGACGCTCCCCGTGCGATGGTGCTGGCGCCCACAGTCAGAAAGAAGGGTGCGAAGTTGTCCACCGTGCGGTAACCACCCCCCTGCGACTGGCCCGGAGCGCCAGCATTACCAGCAGCAAAGGCAATGAACACCCCGGCAGCGTTGGCCCGCATAAAAGCCAGGTCGTTGAAATAGTTGTCGTTGGGATCCATGCCCCCCAGGGACAGCGACAGCACATCCACGCCGTCCGCCACGCCCTGATTGACGGCTGCGATGATGTCTGACTCGTCCGCATACATTTCCCCGCTGCTGCGGTCCGTCCAGAACACCTTGTACGCCGCGATCCGCGCGGCCGGCGCCATGCCGCTCACCTGCCCGCCGCCCTGCAGCCCCACCGGGCTCCCCGCCGCCGCGCCCGCGCACCACGTGCCATGCCCGTCCGCGTCTCGTGGCGTGAGCCAGTCGTTCGCCAGCGCGGGCTTGCCGCTGGCCCGCTGAAACCCGGTGTAGAACGCCTTGGCGCCGATCACCTTGTTGTTGCATCGGAACGAGTTGGACTGCTCGCATTTACCCTTCCACCCAGAGGGGAAGTTCGAACTAAACCCCTTGTCGGAGAACGAGGGGTGTTCGGGCCAGATGCCCGTGTCGATGATCCCCACCACCGTGCCGTCGCCCGCCTTGCTCTGTCCGCCCACGGCGGGCCACACCTTCCCGGGGAGCCCCAGGAACTTGGGTGAGTCGCTGGTCCGCCGCTGGAACACGCGGCTGCGGCGCACGGACGCCACGGCGGGATGGCGCTGCAGGCGCCACGCCTGGCGCGGGGTGAGGCGCGCGGCGAAGCCGTTGGACGTGTGCTTGAAGCTGTACAGCAGGTCGCCGTCGTCCACGCCCGCCTCAGATGCCACCTGCGCCTGCTGCCGCTGCAGCAGCGACGCGAACGCTGCCACCTGGGGGCGGTCCATGCTCAGATGCAGCCGGTGCCGCGCGCACCCGCCGCTGCCGCTGCTGCTACCACCACCATTCCCACGACCACCGCGTGCGCTGGAAGTCGAACTGGTTTCAGGCGCCGCATCTGCTGGCGCTGGCGCAGTTGCGTTGGGGAAGTGCTGATCGGCGTTGGTGTCGTCCAAGTCGACGGACTCGGGCTCTGACTCGGATTCGCCGCCAGCTGCGCCGGAATCTTCGGCCGCGAGAAGCATCTCCGGCACGCGGTCGTCGTCGTTCTCCTCCTCGTCGCTGCCGTCGTCCCACGTGGCAGTGGCGGGGTACCCCGCAATTCCGCCGCGGTATTCGGAGAGGGGGGGCGCCGTGCTCAGGCGCACGATGTACACGGCAGAACCGGCGGTGTCTGGCGCCTGGAATTTGCCCGCGTTGCCTCTGGCGGGCGCCGCAAAAGGCTGGGACTCGGCACCGTTACGCCGCCACTGGCGTGGTGCGCCGCTGGATGGCTGCGCTGCTAGCAGAAACGCGCCGAAGATCAGCAGCAACGCGATTGTGGGGCCGCCGTTCCTCATGGTGGGACTCAACTAATCACGTCTGGGTATTAATCGCGGTACCTTCTCTTAGCAGTTGTTTGCAGTAGTTGTCCTAACAAAAGGCCAGCCAATGGCTGCGTGGATTGTCTGAAGTGGATGCAAGTTTGTTTGGAATTGCCGATGCTGGTTTATTGTGAGCCGATGTTAGAGTGGGTTGTCTGGGTTTGTATGCAACCCACTCCCAAATGTGGCGCGCCACATTTGGAAGATCAGGTCGCATCGCGATGCTGTGGGATGTGGCTCAGGTCCGAGGGGCTGCAGAGAGAGGGGAGGGGAGCGTGCAGCGGACGGGACGCGAAGGAGCAACTGCAGCTGCGGACCAGTCCATAGCTTGCGAATTTCGAAATCATGCTGGTAACCCCATATAACTAGCTGCGCAGGGGATCCAGTTTCTCGTCAATGACTAGCTGGGGTGGTGTGCCATTGGTCTGAGCGAAAGGCGCGGAGGAAGTCATCCGTCGGCCATTGCCCTAGCTAGCGAAGCCAGGCTCGACCAAAGTTTGCGAACAGGCTGGTTACCGATCTATTTTATACTCATTCTGATGGCTACATTAAGTACATCATCACATAAGTAGCTTACGATGATGCGACGAAGTTGGCTTGCGAAAGGAGCTGACCTTTGCGCTTCTCCGAGTCTATCGTGAATTCTTCTTCAATGATGTAGCTCTACAGGAAATCCTCGTCCAGCTCTTCACGTATCCCAGAAAGCTTTACCATGCGTCGCAACAGATTGTAACGTTGCGGAAGTCGCTTCATGACGTGTGTGATGTAGGACGGCATAGCGTAGTCGACGCCGACCATCTGCAACTGTGCTACGCTGAATGAAACTGCGAGAATTTCTCAACGTCGTCTTCAGGCGACGCATCCAGCGATCCGTAGACGAACTTCTTTAGTTGCGCGATTTCCAGTGGGGACTCGATTGCTTCGACCCACGTTGTATGGTCGTGGCAGACTTCAAGTGGTTTCGGAACCACAATCTTGTCTGAAAAATATTTGAAGTATCTGTACTCCGGAGCGATGCCTCCATCATGCGCGGTCAAAGGGTATGACGTCCTCGGAGGATCGGTGGTCCTTCAACCAGTCGATGTGCGGCGAGTGTCAGCATCAGCACGTGCA